GACTGTATTGGCAATTTATTAAAACAAAGAAAGAAAGTGTGAGCCGTAACAAGCAGCTGGACCAGTGATACTGATAAAGTATGTAAATCTTAATAAGCATGGGCTGCATAAGCAGCAATAATCATTACCTTGAGAAGGTTAAAATGAAGTGCAACAAAACTCCTGGACAACAGTAACATGGAAGATGAAGAGAAGTAATAAGTAAGATTTAAAACATTCTAAATCTTTGCATTTTATAGGATGATCGAGATATTGGTCAACTACATGCTCTTAAAAGTCAATGTAAAAAATTGTGTGTACCACTAAAAGAATGGTAATAAAACGTAAGACTTCCAAACCAACAGAAGGCATAAAAGAAAAAATGAAAATTCTGTCAATAAAATGGTATACAGAGAAGTAGAAACAACATGGCAAATATAAAACTCAAAATTAGATGGTAAAAATAATAAGCAATTATAATAAATATAAAATAAATTGTTTGGTTTAAAGATAAAGATTATCAGTGTTGGATTTTCTAAAGAACTCAGCTCTATAGTTATTAAACTTCACATTACTAAAACATAATGACAGAGAAATGTTGAAAGTAAATAGGTGAAAAATAAACACCAGACAAATATTAACTTAAAAATGTTGGTTTAGGCAGTAGCTGACAAAATGTATGTTAATGACCAAAGCATCATTATAAGTAAAGAAGGACATTACTTAATGATAAAATGAATAATTCCATACACAAAATTACCGTCCTGAACCTGGTTCATTTAACAACACACCTTCAAAATATATGAAGCAGAAATTAACAGAATTATAAGGAGAAGTTGATGAGTACATAATCATACTGGGGAATTTTAACATACTGTGCTCATATAAACTGATAGATCAAGCAAACAAATATTGAGAATATGGAAGATTCGAATAACAAAATGGTTAAATCTGATCCAATGGACATGTATGCAGCCCTGCACCCAATGATAAGGCAATACAAATTCTTTTCTAACAAATAGGGGACATGTTCAAAAATTGGCCTTTCACTATGTCCTGAAGATAATCTGTGGTACCAAAAAGCAGTATCCTATAGACTAGATTATTTGACGAAAATGCAATATAGTTTGAAATCCACAGCTATAAACTAGATTATAGGAGAAAACAAACCCTTATATCAACTCAGTGGGTACATAAAATATTCCATAAATTTCAAAAAAACATTGTCACCTAACAAACTGGAAATAGATTCCTTCACCTGATAAAGCTTATCTAGCAAAATCCTATAGCAAACATTATACTTAAACTTGAAATATTAGATGTCCCTTTCAAGTCAGGAAGAAAACTGACAAGAAAACCTCTCATCACTATTTTTATTGGGCATTATAAATGCAGTCTTAACTAATTATAGGGAAAAGAAAACTATAATGTTAAAATATATTGTTATTTTTCACAGACGGTATGTTTTCTACACAGATAATGTAAGAGATCATGTAGACAGACTAATGGAAGCAATATAGAGTTCAACCAGTCTTCTGGGCATGGGATCAATAAATAAAAATCCAGAGTTCTCTTCTATAATAATAAGAACCAATAACAAAATGTTATAAAAACCAATTCTGACAACAAATATGGCATCTGTAATTCTGCACTGGTGTCTCTTATCTTACCTCTGACTTTCTTTCAGGTCTTAAGTTGTTTCTGCAAGATTTGTTACTTCTCTCTTCCCTGCCACAATATGTTTGGGTTATGAGGTTTTCTCTTCTTTTTTTTCCAGACCCTCACAACAATTAACCAACTTAAAGCAAAAAAAGAAAAAATACAAATTAAGGTGAACAGGATTGTTGAGGAGAACTTAGAGAATATCCCTCAGTTGTAGTTCCTCTTTCAAGTATTTAGCGGCTTTGATTTGGCTACTGCTATGGAAATGGAATATCAAAGGGAAAATGCTATTTTTTCTTGTACCAGCTTAAGCAAAATTCAGTTTATTCCTATGGCACCTAAGTAAAGGATCCCCTACTAGGGAATGTGCACCCTCCCCTTAGTGTATTCAATCAAAAAGTTCATCTAGTTTCTCTTTAAAAAGCAATCCTTTTGAAGAAATTGAAGAAGATAAAAATAAATGAAAAGATATCTACTGTTCATGAACTAGAAGAATTAATATTAAAAGATCTATGCTACCCAAGATGATTTACAGATTCAGTGCAATCCCTATCAGAATACCAGTGGCATTCTTCAATGAAGTAGAAATAATAATCCTACCATTTGTGTGAAACCATAGAAGATCCCAGGTAGCCAAAGAAATCTTGAGCAAAAAGAAGGAAGCTGGAGATACCTCACTACCTGACTTCAGAATATACTACAAAGCTATAATAATCAAAATAGCGTGGTCCTGACACACAGACTAGTGGGACAGAATAGAGAGCCTAGAAATAAATCCATTCATTTAAAGCCAATTCATTTTTGATAAAGGAGCCAAGAACACACAATGAGGAAGGGACAGTCTTCAATAAATGGTGTTGGGAAAACTGGATATCCATGTGCAAAAAATTAAACAAGATCTGTATTTTACACCTATAGAAAATCGACTCAAAATGGATTAAAGATTTAAATGTAATACTCCAAACTATGAAACTACTAGAGGAAAACATGAGGGAAAGCTCCGCGACATTGGCATGGGAAATGATTTTTTTTGGATAAGATCCAAAAAGACAGAGAGCAAAAGCAAAAATAGACAAATGGAATTACATAAAACTAAAAAGCTTCTGCACAACAAAGGAAGCAATTAATAGGGTGAAAAGACAAACTACATATGGTGGAAAATATTTTCAAAATATACATTTATTAAGGTGTTAATGTACAAAGTATATAAGGAGCGCAGAGGACTCAATAGCAAGAAAGCAAATAACCTACTTTTAAAGTTTACAAGGGACTTGAATAGTCATGTCTCAAATGAAGGCATACAAATAGCCAATAGGTATATGAAAAAATACTCAACATGACTAATCAACAGGGAAATGCAAATTAAAACCACAGTAAGATACCACTTCACACCCTTTAGTATGGCTATTATCAAAAAGACAAAAGTTAGAGTTGGCAAGATCATGGGCCAAAGGGAACCCTTATACCCTGTTGGTTGAGCATCTTAGTTCATTTTCTGTTGCTATAGCTGAATACCTAAGACTAAGGAATTTATTTTTTAAAGAAGAAATTTATTTATTGCAATTATCAAGGCTTCAAAGTCCAAGGTAGGCGGGCTGCATCTAATGAGGGCCTCATGCTACATTATAATATGGTGGATGGCATCACATTGTGTAGTGCATGTGAGAGTGGGCATGTGCAAAAGAGACAAAACATGAGGAGTGACCTCGCTTTACAACAACATTTTCTCTGGGTAACTAATCCAGTTCCATAAGAGTCAGAACTCACTCACTCATTTGAGACTGCATGAATTCCTTCATGAGGGTGAATCCTTCATGACCCAAATGCCTTTTTAAGGTCCCACTGCCCCTTAACACAGTTACATTGGGCATCAATCTTCAAAATGAGTTTTGGTAGGACCAAACCATATTGAAACCATAGTTGTGGGAATGTAAATTAGTACAGCCACTCAGAAATATTGGTGAAGATTTAGAACAAGATCATGGATGATTGTAAATATAAATATTTATATAGCTACAGATCCTGTTGCAGAGTCAATTATAAAGGACAGCAGTTATCTTGAACATGCAGATTAATGTGATATGAAGTTTGTGAAAGATAGTTCTTGTATATTAAGTTCTGAATTACAAAAGAATATGAAACTATTCAAATGAGGAAAATGGTTAAGAATCTGCTTTGTCTAATAAAGAAGAGATTTTTCTAAAATGAAAAATTTAATGAGAAAATAAGGACAGAATGACTAGAAATATAGAAGAGTTGAAAGGGAATACAAATACCAAACAAGGTAAATCGTGTCAAGAAGAAGCACTTTATATAGAAAAAAAGCAGAAAAAGTGTGTTTGCATGTGCATGTGTGTGTGTCTATGTGTGTAAATAATATGTTCTCTAAACCCAGAGACTTTGAATGACAAAAAGTTACTTTGAACAAGTATATATGTTAAATGAAAATTAAGCACCAACACATATTCTAAAGAATAAAAAGAAAAAAAAAAAACTTGCATACATGAGTACCACAATGGAAAGGAATCACATAGAGGAAAAGTAGAAGCTTTTATAGGAAAAATATCATTTCTGAAATATATATATTGAAGAAACAATGTCAAACTAACTAAAAAGCAGTCTTTGAACACATTAGGAATTGCCCTACTTTGTTAAATGGAATGACAAAATTGACTAAAATTTGGTGGACTCAGGATGTCTCCTACTTTTAAGATCTATGTCATTAGCTAGTTATTTAATTTGTAGAAATATACTAGAATTAGAATTTATTTGCAAGAGAAAATCCTAAATTGGAGATGAAAATCTCGATTCACTATAGCAGCAAAACCCATAATAAATCTAGAAATATACCTCACAGAAGTTATGTAAGATCGTAAGTACATATTTTAAGATTTTATTGAAGAACATAAACAATAATATAAATAATAGAAGAAATATACCATTTTAATGGTTTGAAAGGCTCATTGTCATAAAGAGGTTAATTCTCTACAGATTAGTTTGTAGTTCAATGCAATTCCGATCAAACTTCACATATCGTTTTCATGGAACTTGACAAATTTATCTTAAAATTCATATAAAAAGAGAAAAGGAAAATCATAGCCAAGATTCTTTTGGAGAAAAAGAACAAGATAGAAAGACCAGCTGTATAAGAAATTAAGAATCATTATTAAACTGTATTAATAAAAAGTGTGATTTTGGTACCAGGGTTGAAATTCCAGAAACAAACTCACACATAAATGAGAACTTGGTGTATTACAGAGGGAATACTACAAATCAGTGGGGAAAGGATGAATTACTCAAGTAATCCTGGGACAACTGACTATTCATATAGAAAAAAAGTAAAATTCCCTGAGAGAGAGATTCAAGATGGCTGATCGTTAGCAGCTCGGGATTGTAGCTCCCAGTGAAAGTGCAGAGAAGGAGAGGACGCCACACTTTCAGACGAATTTTTGTTGCCCACGCACCAGGAGATTCCTAGCGGAGGAGCCCCACGGGTCGCCAGCACGACTCTTGTGGCCAGCAAGGCAGTTTTGCTGCTGCCTTGGTGCGGTGGTTCTTGGTGCGGAGTCAGAAAAGCACCATCAACCTTAATGCCACTGTTTTGGCTGGCACAGTGGGTTTCTCAGATTTTAGCACTGGGAATCAAGTTGGACGCCCACTCAGAAACCCAACTATAAAGACAGTAACTATAAAGACCACAGATGGACAAATCTCTATAAAGAAGGGAAGAAAACAGCCAAAAAAAGGCTGAGAATACCCAAAATCAGAATGCCTCTCCCTCTACAGGGGATCACAGTTCCTCATCAGCAATGGAACAAGGCCTGATGGAGAACGAGTGTGTTCCATTAACAGAAACAGGCTTCAAAAGGTGGATGATAAGAAACTTCTGTGAATTAAAAGAACTTGTTCTCACCCAATGTAAAGAAACTAAGAACTTTGAAAAAAGGTTTGACGAAATGTTAACAAGAATACACAATTTAGAGAGGAATATAAGTGAATTAATGGAGATGAAAAACACAACACGAGAACTTCGCGAACTATGCACAAGTTTTAACAGCCGAATCGATCAAGCAGAAGAAAAGATATCAGAAGTCGAAGACCAACTTAATGAAATAAAATGAGAAGACAAGATTAGAGAAAAAAGGATAAAAAGGAACGAGCAAAGTCTCCAAGAAATATGCGACTATGTGAAAAGACCTAATCTACACTTGATAGGTGTACCTGAATGTGACAAAGAGAATCAATCCAAGCTGGAAAATATGCTTCAGGATATTATTCAGGAAAACTTTCCCAACCTAGCAAGGCAGGACAATATTCAACTCCAGGTAATACACAGAACACCACAAAGACATTCCTCAAGAAGACCAACCTCAAGGCACTTAATCACCAGATTCACCAGGGTTGAAATGAAGGAGAAAATACTGAGGGCAGCCACAGAGAAAGGTCAGGTTACCCATAAAGGGAAGCCTATCAGACTCACAGCAGATCTCTCAGCAGAAACCCTACAAGCTAGAAGAGAGTGGGGGCCAATATTCAACATCCTTAGAAGAACTTTCAACCCAGAATTTTACATCCAGCCAAACTAAGCTTCATAAGCGAAGGAAAAATAAAATCTTTTGTGAACAAGCAAGCACTCAGAGATTTCATCACTACCAGGCCTGCTTTACAAGAGCTTCTGAAAGAACCACTAGAAATAGAAAGGAACAACCAGTATCAGCCTTTCTAAAAAATACCAAAAAGTAAAGAGCATCAACATAATCAAGAATTTACATCAACTAATAGGCAAAACAGCCAGCTAACATTAAATGGCAGTATTAAACTCACATATATTATTATTAATTCTAAATTTAAATCAACTAAATCCCCTAATCCAAAGACATAGATAGGCAAAAAATGCCAAAACCTATCGGTATGCTGCATCCAGACCCATCTCACATGCAAGGATACACAAAGACTCAAAGGGATGGAGAAAGATTTACCAACCAAATGGAGAGCAAAAATAAATAAATAAATAAAAAGCAGGAGTTGCTTTAAAGCAACAAAGATCAAAAGAAGCAAAGAAGGATATTACATAATGATAAGGATCAATGCAACAAGAAGAGCTAAAGATCCTAAATATATACGCACCCAATACAGGAATACCCAGATATATAAGACTTATAAAGATACTTAGACTCTGACACAATAATAGTGGGAGACTTCAACATCAATATTAGATCAATGACACAGAAAATTAACAACGATATCCAGGATTTGAACTCAGATCTGGAACAAGTAAACTTAATTAACATTTATAGAACTCTCCACTTTACACAAAATATACACTCTTATCAGTACCACATCACATCTATTTACAGGTTTCAATGAAATATTGGTTGGCTGCTTGTTTGTTATTTTCTTCCCTCATTTTTTTTCATGTCTCTATTATTAAGCACAATTATAGGCATATCCATTTTTAGACTGCATTCTGGCCTGGGCAATAAAGCAACACCCCCGTTCTCTCTCCCTCTTCCTCTTTCTCTTTCTTCCTCTCCTTCATTCTTTTTTTTTTCTTTCTTTCTTTCTTTTTTTTTTTTTAGAAAAAAAGCTAAATAAGAATTAATAACTTTATAAGTACTTTAAAGATTATGTAAAAAAAAAATTTCCTACCCTATACTATACACAAATTAAAGATGGATTAAAAACCTAAACATGAATATCAAAAATTGCTTGCTTTTAAAATTTTGAAGAATATCTTCATGACTTCAAAATAGAAAAGATTCCTTACAATTGCATGATGAAAACCATAAAAGAATAGATTGATAAATTTGACTTCATTAAAAATAAAGACTTATATAATGATATATGCCACAGAGAACTTTCAAAATCAGGTGCCACATAATGGTAGAAGGTATTTTTAGTGCCTATAAATAACAACAAATTAATATCCAGAAGCTATAAAGCACTACAGAAGCTATTATTTAAAAGACAAACAGTTCATTAGAAAAATATGCAAACAACGTGACTAGGCAATTTATAGAAGGGAAAATCAGACTTACCTATAAACATGATCAAAGTTTCCCAAGCTTACTAGTAATGAGGGAAATGTACATTAAATTCAAAATAAGTAACAACCATCAAATTAGTAAACACTAAAAAGTGGAATAATACCAAGTGGTCATATCCCAAGGATATAAGGAATTAGGACTTTTGAGGTAGTATCAATTTATACACCTGCCATGAACAGCATGTGGCAACATCTAGCAAAGTCAAAGATATGCACACCTTATTATGATCCCAAATCCCACTTCTAGATATCTGCCATGGAGAAACCCTTGCATGTGTAGTACAGGATACATAAAGAAGAATGTTTATTTTCATAGTAACAAATTAATGTCCAACATATGGGAATGGATTAATACTATCAAATACAGCATATTTTAATATGGAAGGCTATATGGCAGTTTAAAGTAACTAACTACATCCATATACTTCTACAAAGATGATTCTGGAAAATAGTGTTGAGTGTACAAAACAATTTGGAAAACATTATATACCATACATTTATAAAAAAGAACAGGAAAATTGGTCATGCCTAGAGGGTCTCTCAGGGCTTTTGTGTATTGGGCCTGATACAACTGAGGAAAGTTATCTGAGGAGATTCTTGGAAAAGTTCAGTCCTGTCTCCTCGTGCCTGACAAACCTGAAGCAGTGGAGCAGAGAGGTCCTCCTGGCCTTTTTTACTTAGAGAATATTTTCCCTCTCTCTCTCTCTCTCCCCCCCCCTTCTTTCTCTCCCTCTTTTTTTTTTTTTTTTTTTTTTTTTTTTTTTTAGAACATTCTTCACTTTATCATTGGAGAAAAGCCCGGTGTTAAGATCATCTATTATTGTGGCAGTGACTCAGGTATAATGTCTGGTGACTCTCTGCCGAGGAGAGTTGAGGGATCAAATGACTCAGGTTTTTAGATTAAAAGGCCAAGTTTACAAGCTGAACCAGAGGAACTTAAATCGTGTTTTTTTCTCTCTTTTCTTAATGCATCACTGAAAACTTTTTGAAAGAAAAAGCTGTTAGTGGTTATTCTAATCACTTAGCTTTTGGTTGGTTTTTGTTAAAGATTAGAATGTCGCTTCTCAAAATTTGGCAGAATTTTTAGGCTTTTTTCCATACTAATAATGAATGTGATACTAAAAGTCTTTTTTCTTTCCCCACCCCCTTTTCTTTAAATCTCAGAACGTAAAAGATGAAGGCGGTTTTGAAGAGTTAACTTTTTGGTTGAGTAATTCCCTTGAATGCAATGTAACTTTAAAAGAGAGAAAAAGGGAAGATTAGCAGAGATAAAATCAGGACCTCATGGCTACCCAGGCTACTGTCACCATAGGTAGGTGGTAAAGTTAGGTGGTAGGGTTCATGGATCCTGGGGTTTGATCTGAAGTCCCCTCTGCATATATGAAGGAGCATGGCTGAATTATGTATTCATTTGGAATGTTTTCTCTTCATTCCAGGACCTGCAACTATAAAAATACATTTGTTGATATGTATGTTTGTGATAAAACAGTACTGATGCAATTATTGATTTATTGATTTTTTTCATCATATTTTAGTATGCTCACACATTATGTTGAGAATCAGCATGTACAGATAATATTTTAATATCATCAAGTTAGTGGTCAATTCTAACAACAAATATAGAAAATTGAACATAGTCCTTTGTCTAAAAAGGGACATTTTACTGATTTGTATGACTAAATTGTGACTGGAGGTTAATGAGTCAGTATGTGTTAAATAAATGGATTGATGGATGAGCAGAAGGAAGGATTTAAGGAAGAAAGGAAGAACAGACAGATGGAAAGGAGAAATTTACTTGAAAATAGGTTTCATGAAGAAAATATTCACTTTACAGGAACATTGTCTTTTATATTTAAAATGACTGCCCCATTACTTTGGATACCCAGAGTGCTTACTATTTATGATCTTGAAAATGTCTGAAGCTCTTCCAGGGAGTAAGGGAAGAAAATCACATCAAAGTTATACTGCACCTTTTCTGGTTTTGTGTTCAAACAGAGCACTCAAGACGATGCAGGTATTTGTGCAGAGGTAATATTCCCCCAGAAAATCAAAACAGCTGAATTATAAATAGCCTCTTTAGATTTTTTAGTAAAGTTCTTTAGGAGAATGACATTCACACAGAAAAGTGCACAGATCATAAGTGTATATCTCATTAAATTTTCACAAATTGGACAAATCACAGTAATCAGCGCCCATATCAAGAAAGATAACGTTACCAGCACCCAAGAAGTCCTTCTGTCCTTTTCTTCTAGACCTTATTCCTCACTAAAAGGTTAAGTTCTATAACGTTTAACATTAATTAGATTTCCCTATTCTGGATATTTCATTCAAATGGGATGAAACAATATGCAGCTCTTGTGACTTTTCTTCTTTCGGTTAGCATATCAGTTTCAGGGTTCATCCATGTTGTGACACGTATCAGT